TTTACCTCCACTTGCCAGAAGACAGACTGAATAAACTAAGCACATGATGATACCATAGTATTTCAGTTCGACACTTTGAGCCGAGGTCCCTCTACCTCCAACTCACACTAATCACCTCCCTTTCCATTCCTTCATTCACTCTCTTGTACCCAATTCCCTGACCCACCAGTTCTGAACTCTTCTGAGGCATCAGCCCGCAGCTAAGTCAACTTTCAGTCCTTCCCCAACTGCTGAACAAAGCATATTGTTCTTAGCAGGTGTTCTGTATATTTTAATTTAAAAATTAATGTTTTATATTCTTTACGTGTTGTGTCTCAGAAATATTTGCTACTTAGAAGAGAAATGGGATAAGAATAGAAAAGGATGAACAAATAAGAATGAACTGCTGAAGGAGGGATTTCATGCAAAGGTAGGGGAAATAGTCCTTTGAATCTTACTGCATAAATAGGGGTTTCAAGTCCTGGTTCACAGACTGGCTTTGGTGTATAGCATGCATTCTCATTTGGTGTATAGCATGCATTCTCATTTGGGGTCATATTGTCCCCTAAGAGGGTAAAAATTGGTTCTTGGGGAGGGATGAAAACATTGTCAGATATTACAATGGTTTGTGCCCCTCCCCAAAGGGCCATGACACAGAGACAAATGTACAGTATGTCTGTGGTATTAACATTGCATGGGGTGTGGGTGATTCGAAAAAAATCTTGTAAGATCCTTTGGGGAAAGGGGGATGATAGTGGGAAGAAAGATTGAGAAGCACTGGTTTACAAGAATATTTTTCCAAGCCCAAAGAAAAATAGGTTGTGTTATACACACACACACACACACACACACACACACACCTCTGCATAGAGTAGATAGATCAGATAGACAATCCATGTGATTTTGCTAACAGGGCTTCTTGGGAGAATTCCACATTTTGATTTTGAGATTTTCCTTTCTTAGAACAGTAAACATTAGACAACTCTGCTGGTATCCAGGTTAAAAAAATTCTTCTGGTTATTAAAATCCCAGTCTGAGACTCACTATTTTGAAATACGGGCAACTCAATCTATGTGCAAAATTAGTCTTGTCAAATATTAAACAATATGACTAGTATTAGAGCATAGGAGAATACTACTTCAGTCCCAGAAAGAACTTCAGAAAGAGAACACTTTTCTGTAAGACCCAGTGCAGGAGTTAATTGCACTCTTCAATTCATGGTAAATAGTCTCCAATTGTCTGAGCTGTTTGCTTGATTCATTGATTCACTGTCTATCCACACTCTGCTCCCACGCCTGTCCTCCAACATTTCAGTGTGTTAAATGTGCATTCTGTTGGCCAAGCACAGTGGCTCACGCCTGTAATCCCAGCACTTTGGGAGGCCAAGGAGATGGATTGCTTGACCCCAGGAGTTCAAGACCAGCCTTGGCAACATGGTGAAACCCTGTCTCTGCAAAAAATACAAAAATTAGCTAGGTGTGGTGGCGGCCACCTGTTGTCCCAGATATTCAGAAGGTTGAGGTGGGAGGATCACCTGAGTTCGGGAGGCAGAGGTTGCAGTGAGCCAAGAGTGTAACACTACACTCCAGCCTGGGTGACAGAGTGAGACCCTGCCTCAGAACAACAACAACAACAAAAACCCCAAAAAAGTGCATTCTGTTGATTTTATATATTATTTTGTATAAATAAAATTTGTGATTATTGCATTGTTGTTCTGTGTGCACGTGTTTTAATTTATATACATGGCAGTGTTATCTACCCTATTGTTTCTGACTCTATTTTTGCTCTGTTTTTGAGATCTGTGTTGCCCTGATGCTTCTTCCGCTGCATCATCCACCTGGGTGTGCATCTGCCATGACATATTCAGCGCTATTGCAGAAATAATATCCACATTGTCTCCAGCTCCTCAGTTACCCAGCTATCTTGGCAATGAACCTTCACATACATGTCTTATGGATCTGGGTGAGAGTCCCTGGGACTTCCCTGCCTAATCCTGAAGTTGCAGGAGCCATTTTGAAAAATGTTTTCACTTCAGTTGCCATAATCATATGACTTTTCTGCTGTTTAACTATATTTCATATTTCTGAAATATATTCCACTTGATTTTGACACATATATAAATACATACATATACATACACATACACACACACACACACACACACACACATATGTTATTTTTAGAGACAGAGTTTCTCTCTGTTGCCCAGGCTGAAGTACAGTGGTGCAATCATAGCTCACTGTAGCCTAAAACTCCTGGGCTCTAGCTATCTTCCTACTTTGACCTCCTAAGTAGCTGAGTGCACAGGTGTGTACTACCATGCAAGGTCCTGATTTATATTTTTATACACTCTTCAATTCACTTAGTGAGTATATTTTTACACCTATGTTCATAAATGAAATGTGCCCATTATTTCTATATATTTTTCTGCTTTTGTTGTTATCTATATTTGGAGTTAAGAATACACTAGCACCATAGAACAAGCTAGGTAGATTTGGGGTTTTTTTTTGTATTTTTCCTTAAACAACTTGTGTAAGTCAGGAATCAACTGCTTCTTGAAAATTTGAACGAAGTGCCTGTAAAGACATCTGGACCTGAAACTGTTTTAGAGGCTAGTCTTTGTCTACATTTAAAAATAACTATTGTACTATGCAAGACATCTTCTTCTTGTGCCAATTTTTCAGGAATTTATCCAATTATGCTTACAGAATCATTTCTGTATAGTTGTTAATAATCCTTAGTATTTTTATAATTGTCCATTATATCTATGGTTAGTTCATTTTGTATTGTATATATTTTAATAGCTTTGAGATATAATTTGCATAGCCTAAAATTCACTTGTTTTAAGTGTACATTCAATAATTTTTAGTAAATTTCCAGAGCTATGCAACCATTAATCCAATCTACTGTCAGAAGATCCCATGTGGGGATGGGGTCAGCTGGTCACTCCTGTTCTCACTCCTAGCCCCAGACAGCCACTAATCAACTTTTTGTTTCCACAGATTTGTCTTTTTTAGATTTCATTCTGTATTTTGTTTATTTGCATTAATACTTTCAAAGAATTGGCTTTTAATTTTGTTAATCTTCTCTTTTTTCTTTATTTCTTCAATTTTGAAAGAGTTCTTCTCAGTCCATCCCCGATGACAAGAGCAGGACATGGGCCTGTACTTCCTTTGATAATCCCTCAGGCTTCGGTTGGGCACAGTGTCTCCTCAGCCCCGTCTCTTTGGTGCCTGTGCTCATTTGTCAACAGAGACTTTAACATTTCCTGGGTGGCTTGCCCCAAATGCTGGTTTCCTCTAGATGTTGGAGTTCCAGCTTCTATGAAGGTCAACCCTAAAGCACTTGGAGGACAAAGGGTCCCAGTTTCTGGCTTAGACATCCAAGCCTCTGTCTGGGACCCCTACATTTAAATTTACGCCATTGTGAGTCATGTACTTAGAAAGAAAACAGACAGAAAGAATAGGAACTGGCTGGTCTGTGAAGTGGCTGGTTAGGACAGAAACTGGCCCAACCAACTCCTATTTGCTAAGGAATTAGAAGACTCCTAGCATCATCCCTGAAGTAAAAAAGAAACAGGATATTTAAAGGACTAGAAGAAGAGTTTAAAGTCCTGTGTCCTTTTGTCTTTCTCAGCAAACATGTCTTTGTCATGTGCCCAGGACTTCCTCACTTTTCCTCTACATATGTTAACTATTGATTGGGCCTTATAGAAATTTCTCTGATCTTCTTTGTAGTCTGTACCATTGCCAATCACTGAGAAAGGGAAGGGAGCTAATATCAGGGACTTTATGTTTACCAGGCACTTTATGGAATTTTCTTTGTGTATATTCACAGCAGGAGTGCAGACATCCCTCTGACATACTGATTTCATTTCCTTTGGATAGAGTAAACCCAGGAATGTGATGGCCAGATCATATGGTAGTCCTATTTTAAATTTTTTGAGAAACCTCTGTACTGTTTTCCAAAATGCCTGGCCCTTTGAGATTGGTACAATTATCAATCTAATTTTAGAAATGAAGCAACTGAGAAAAGTTAGGTGACTTGCCCAGGCTCATTATAAACCAGTCACTTAGTGACTTCCTAGGTCACGCAGATGGTGTCAGAGCCAGAATGAAAGCTAAGATCTGTATCACACTGCAAATCTCGTATTCCTTCTATGCCCCATTCCTAAAATATTAGGCTAGAAGGGATCCTGGATGTCATCAAGTGAAACAGTTCCCAGAAGTCAGTCTATCATTCAAATCTCCACACATTTTAAACTATCTATGTAACACTTAAACTAATATGACAATATTTTTATTTAGATTTATAATTTTTAATAAAATATTTTTATAAAAGCTTTCTGTCATTACTGACAATGAAAAAACTAGTGTCATTTGCCATAAACAAGAAGTATATGGCTGAACTATTTTCAAAATATTCTTGTAGCTAAGCCAACCTCAAACTCAGTGCCTTATAACAAGGTGTGCTTATTCTCACATGCACAGGTCTGCAGGTTGGCTTAGTTTGATCTAGCTGGGCTTAGTTGGCCAGGCTCCAAGTTGTAGGTCTGCCTCACATATCTTATTCTGGAGCCCAGAATTAAAGAACAGAGGCTGTCTGTGGTTTGAAACTGGCACCCCATCATGTCTACTCATATTTCATTGGCCAAAGCAAGTCACACACCAATCCCAACATCAATAAGGCAGGGAAAGATAATTTGCTCACAGAGAACGGGGTGAATATCTGATGAACCTTTATCCACCACATGTGAAAAAGAAATAGTCAACATGATGAAAACAAAACAATACTTTAAAATTTTAGTTAGCCACCACTGCCTGCAGAAATGGGGTTTCCAAATAAAATATTGGATACTCAGTTAAAGTTTAATTTCAGATAAACAACAAATCATTTTTAGAATAAGTATGATCCATACAATATTTGGACATACTTCTCTTACGAGTCATTCATTGCCTTGTGTACTTTCATTTGCTTAATCTAGCAATTCTATGTAGAAATATTTTAGTCTAAGCCTGCTGTTTTCTTTTTATTTTTAAGGAGAGATTAACTATGTTACAATATTCCAGCATTAAACTGAGACTTTGCTTCAATGTAGAAACTGGGAAAAGAGAGCTGATCAGAAAGGAATAACTTTCTCATGATGTAATTCAATACCATTTAAAGTCCTTTCCATGCTCCTTGTAAAATCATCGCACATTCAACTAAGATTATCTGGCATACAAGCAGAGGAACTTTCCTCCTGCTTCTCCCATTCTCTGGTAAACTTCATCTTGCGGATAAAAAACTGAAGCCCAGGGGTTAGGTAAGAAGCTCATCCAACTCCATACAGCCAGAAGCTGAGATCTGTCTCAGCTTGGGAGGCTCCTAATCCTGTCCCTTGGAAAAATAGAAATACTTAAATGTAGTTTTCTCTTTAAGATATTTGTTTATAATTCCAGAATGTTCTTAAAGTCAAACTTACAATTGTGATTTGAAGTTTAAGAAGTAGAAAATGAGGTGTAGGGTTTTCAGTAACTTCCTGCCAGTCATAATTTTTATATCAGCTTTGCTCAGCCCCAACCTTGATATACCAGAGCTATGTGGAGAGAAACACTTTTCAACATCCCCCAGATGCTTGAGATAAATGGCTAGATGCAGAATAGTTATTAATTAAAAGTCAGGTACTGTGGGCATCTTTTTGTTGGTTCTGAAACTGCTAATCACCCGCTCTGTCTACCGTGGTCCTTGTGTAGGCCTGTGGGATTGAGCTGCTCAGGTATTTAATGAGAAAATGCCAAGACTAGGTTTAATTTACTTGAAGGCCGCCTCCCCTCAAATTCACACACAGAGAAGCGCAATTTCAGTGCAAACTGCAGAACATTAAGAATGTCTTAAATCCTTTGAAATCCTTTTCTATTGAATCATATGCTTGAGGGAAGGGACCCCAGACAATTAAATGGAAACAGATTTACTTACTTGAAAGATGAGTCTTTGTTCAGGTAGTACTGATGATCTGGCAGGCCCTCTTTCCGGTTCAGATTTTACAAAGTCTGGACAGATCCTATCTCTTCCTCCTCCTCCTCCTTCATGGAGCCTTCCCAGATCTCACCAGCATCCAGAGTTGAACTCTGAATTTATAGCTTTTGTTCCCTGTGTCATTTCTTTGGTAATGAACTGAGCCCGGCAATAGGATGTCACCAACATTGTGTGTATGTGTGGTAGGTGAAAGGGCACTAGTATATAGTTAGGTTACAACACTGCTATATACTGAAAGTATATTAGGACTGAAAGTCCTTATCTTTATTTATCTTTGCTTGTCTTCATGTCTTTGGGGTTGGCAAACTGTTTTCAAGAGCCACTATCTTTATATCATAAACAAGGGAACACATTTACTGTCTCATCCCTGGAGTGTTCTTCCTGCTCCTTCTTACCTAATTCACTTCTTATGCTAAACAGCCAACTGCAACTTGAGTTGCAGGAAGATGTCCCTTATCCTTGCATCTGAGTTATGTGCCCTCTGTGATATGCTCATGGCCCCTTCAACTACCAACACCAGGGCTCAGACAACGTTTTCTGTAAAGGGCCAGCAAGTAAATATTTCTAATTATGCAGGCCATATAAAGTCTGTTTCACAACTACTCAACTGTGTCACTGTAGCTCAAAAGCAACCATGCGTGTGGCTGTGTTTCAACAAAATTTTATTGATGGACACTGAAATTGGAATTTCATATCATTTTCATGGACCGGGAAATATTACTCTTTTTTAAAATTGTTTCTGACTATTTAAAAAATGTAAAAACCATACTTAGCTCCCAGTTGTACAAAAAGGGATGTGGACTGGATTTGGTCTTTGGACTTTGCCATGGTTTGCTGATCTCTGATCTAAGCTCTTGTTTGTTTACTTGACTTTTTAAACTCAACACAGTAAAAGCTCCCCTTGAGGACCTCCCATCTTAGCACATCTAGGACATAGCAGGGTGCCTGGCTTGTGTGCTGGAGGTTGATCTCTACGCACCTCAGACTGCATGAGTAATCACCTGTCCTGCCCACCATAGTCTTCATGTGGGCCAGTGGGATGGATGACTCAAATGTTTAATGAGAAAATGCTTTAGTTGGTGAATTAGTCCATTTTCCCACTGCTGACAAAGACATACTCAAGACTGGGCAATTCACAAAAGAAAGAGGGTTGATGGACTTATAGTTCCATGTGGCTTGGGGAGGCCTCACAATCATGGGGGATGGTGAAAGGCATGTCTCACATGGCAGCAGACAAGAGAAGAGAGATTGTGCAGGGAAACCCCTTTTGAAAGCTATCAGATCTGGTGAGACTTATTACCTATCACGAGACAGCAGGGGAAAGACTGCCCTCATGATTCAATTATATACCACCAGGTCCCTCCCACAACATGTGAGAATTCAAATTGAGATTTGGGTGGGGACACAGTCAAACTGTATCATTCTGTGGCCCCTCTTGAATCTCATGCCCTCACATTTCAAAACCAATCATGCCTTCCCAACAGCCCCCAAAGTCTTAACTCATTTCGGCATTAACTCAAAAGTCCACAGTCCAAAGTCTTATCCAAGACAAGGCAAATCCCTTCTGCCTATGAGCCTGTAAAATCAAAAGCAAATTAGTTACTTCCTAGATACCATGAGGGTACAGGCATTGGGTAAATACAGCCATTCCAAATGGGAGAAATTGGCCAACATAAAGGGGCAACAGGCCCCATGCAAGTCCGAAATCCAGCAGGGCAGTCAAATCTTAAAGCTCCAAATGATCTCTTTTGAGTCTATGTCTCACATCCAGGTCACACTGATGCAAGAGGTGGCTTCTCATGGTCTTGGACAGCTCCTCCCCTGTGGCTTTGCAGGGCACAGCCCTCCCAGCTGCTTTCACAGGCTGGCATTGAGTGTCTGTTGCTTTTCCAGGCACACAGTGCAAGCTGTAGGTGGATCTATACCATTCTGGAGTCTGGAGGTTGGTGGTCCTCTTCTCACAGCTCCACTAGGCAGTGCACCTGTAGGGACTCTGTGTGGGGCTCCAACTCCACATTTCCCTTCTGCACTTCCCTAGCAGAGATTCTCCATGAGAGCCCCACTCCTGCAGCAAACTTCTGCTTCAACATCCAGGCATTTCCATACATCCTCTGAAATCTAGATGGAGGTTCCCAAACCCCAATTCTTGACTTCTACGCACTGGCAGGCTCAATACCACATGGAAGCTGCCAAGGTTTGAGGCTTGCACCTCTGAAGCCACATCCTGAGCTCTATGTTGGCCCCTTTCACTGATGGCTGGAGTGGCTAGGGTGCAGGGCACCAAGTCCCCAGGCTGTACACAGCACAGGGACCCTGGGTCTGGCTAATGAAACCACTTTTTCCTCTTAGGTCTCCAAATCTGTGATGGGAGGGGCTGCCATGAAGACTTCTGACATGCCCTGGAGACATTTTCCCCATCGTCTTGGGGATTAACGTTTGGCTCTTCATTACTTATTCAAATTTCTACAGGTGGCTTGCTTGGATTTTCCTCAGAGAATGAGATTTTCTTTTCTATCGCATTGTCAGGTTGCAAATTTTCCAAACTTTTATGCTCTGCTTCCCTTATACAACTCAATGCCTTTAATAGCACCCAAGTCACCTCTTGACTACTTTGCTACTTAGAAATTCTTCTGCCAGATACCCTAAATCATCTCTCTCAAGTTCAAGGTTCCGCAAATCTCTAGGGTAGGAGCAAAATGCCACCAATCTCTTTGCTAAAACATAACAAGAGTCATCTTTGCTTTGCTCCATTTTCCAACAAGTTCCTCATTTCCATATGAGATCACCTCGGCCTGGACTTTATTGTCCATATCACTATCAACATTTTGGGCAAAACTATTAAACGAGTCTCTAGGAAGTTCCAAACTTTCCACATTTTCCTGTATTCGTGGAGCTCTCCAAACTGTCCCAAACTCTGCCTGTTACCCAGTTCCAAAGCTGCTTCCACATTTTGGTTATCTCTTCAGCAGCACCCCACTCTACTGGTACCAATTTACTGTATTAGTCCATTTTCATGCTGCTGATAAAGACATACTTGAGACTGGACAATTTACAAAAGAAAGAGGTTTAATGGACTTACAGTTCCATGTGACTGGGGAGGCCTCACAACCATGGCAGAAGGTGAAAGACATGTCTCACATGGTGGCAGACAAGAGAAGAGAGCCTGGGCAGGGAAACTCCCCTTTTTAAAACCATCGGATCTTGTGAGACTTATTCACTATCACGAGAACAGCAGGGGAAAGACCTGCCCCCATGATTCAGTTACATCCCACTGGGTCCCTCCTATAACACGTGGGAATGCAAGATGAGCTTTGGGTGGGGACACAGCCAAACCATATCAGTCGGGTATAAGTTACATGATGCACTCTTTGTCCTCCACCACACCCAGCAGGAAAAAAGTTCAAAATCAATGCAACTTGCTAATATTAAAAGGGGTTTTAAATCCTTTAGCATCTTCTGTAATTGAATTGTATGCTCAAGAGAAGGGCCCCCTTACATCTGTGTAATGTGGGTATCAATAAAAATAAAATAAAATAAGGGCCCCAGACATAGTGCTGTAAATAGAAATATTCTGCTTCTTTCCCTCTGCCCTACCACATCTTAGTTCAATAGCTCTGCTCACCTGCAAAACCCTCCCTGCTGGTAAAAGTCTCTCCAGGCTTGGATAATTAATAAATTATCTCCTTCTCCTCCATGAAGCCTCCTCAGGCCCATGAGGTTTTGTATAAACTGTTCCCTCTGCTTGCAATGGTCTTCTTTGTGGCTCATTCCTTGTGACATAGGACTCAGCTTTAATGTCACATCCTCAGAGAAGCTTTCTCTGATCACTCCGATGACACAGACACCCACCTTCTTTCTGCATGTTAGTACTGGTCCTTTCCCTTCCCAACACTGTTATGATTTGCAACTCTTTATCTACTCATGGGTTTGATTTTTGGATCGGCCGTCTAGCATAGCTCCTGACACACAGCAGGTACTCAATAAATATCTGCTGAATAAATGAACAAAAAGTTGGCTTCCTGAGTCACATTGCCTACATTTAAATTCCAGAACCCCACTTCCTAAACTCTTAGGAAATTTACTTGTTAAGCCTTTTTCAATGTGTAAAATGCACATCACCAAATTCATGATGTTGTTGTAAGTATAAAATGAGAATAGCTAAGTATGGTGCCTGCCACATAGTAAGCATAAGAGCAATATCTATCTATCCAACCATCCATATAACAACTGTTTATCATCTACCATTTTTATATCTACTGTAATCTATCCTACTTATCTACTATCTATCAATCATCATCATCATTCAATTTATTCTCATTTCTTGAATGAATAAATTCATATCTGAGATAATCCCA